TTAAAATCTTCCTTTACCCTTTGGTGAGCATTCACATAGAACACAAGTATCTTCATACTCCGCCATTCACAGAGGTCTAGCTTCATACCTCTTCCTCAGACCTTCTGGTCATCAATTTTCCAATCATGCCTCTTCCAAGTCCCTGACGACCCATCCAAACCATGATTTGGTGCAGACCCATTCTTCTATCTCTTTCCAGGCAAAACGATCAACCAAGTGCACTGCTCTGTATTGCTCATGGGGAGGATTTCCCTTCACCACCGCCTTCCAGGGCTGTCCAGAGTGGGGCTGTGTGCTGCAGGTATGCATTTTCAGGTGATGCATGCTTGTTGTGCAGAACTGTCTGCAAACCAACCCTGAGAGCTGTCTTCCTTGGTCAACTGATCGTAGGGAATTCCCATGAAGGCATGGGTGTGGGTTCAGAATGTAATGTAGCAGGAATGGGGGCTGCGGGCAAGGCTAGGAATTGATTATAGGATCTTAGAGCAAGAGAAAATTAACCTCCTCTTCAGGCAGGGACGGGAAGGCTGGATCTAGTGGCCAAAAAGGTTTGAGGTCCTAGCTTCAGCGGAATCTCCTCCTTCGACCCATTGTAATGTTCAGAATCATACAGCTTCCCAACCAACACACTCACTTCCTACAGAAGATACCCTGGGAGGCTGGAATTTTTTTTTTTTTTTAAAAGATGACCGGTAAGGGGATCTTAACCGTTTGACTTGGTGTTGTCAGCACCACGCTCTCCCAAGCGAGCTAACCAGCCATCCCTATATAAGGATCAGAACCCATGGCCTTTGTGTTATCAGCACCACACTCTCCCAAGTGAGCCACAGGCTGGCCCGAGACTGGGAATTTAATTTACATTGTAATTCAATGCTTTGTTTGATGATTTGCCGGAAAGACTCACAAGATACAATAGCAGGTTTTACTCATAGCTAAAAATTTTTATAACAAAGCATATACAGAAAAAGCAGCAGAAAACAAGACATGCATTGGTGGAGTGCAGGGGGATCCAGCACAGACTTCTAATGCTCTTCCCGTCCAAGGGCACACTAGAGAGCTCACTCTCTGACAGCAAACCACAGGGACGTGTAGAGTCTCTGTTCAGGATGCCTGTTTTAGTCTCAGCGTGTGAAGGGGTTGGGCATGTAGGCCTAGCCTGCTGTGAACTCTTTCCTCACATGCTGCAGGAATAGACTTTGGGTTTGTTTTCCAAAATCTCAGTCCTGCAACTACAGGTGGTGGTGTTTCTTTCAGGACATTTCTAGAAGCTATCAGTTCCCTTATGTAGACTTTAAGCTGTGAATTAAAAGTCCCATACTAGTCATTTTAATTTTAAAGAAACATGACAATCCTTTGACTAAACAACTATACTTTTACCAATTTATTTTAAGGAAATGGTAAGGATATGAATACAAATATCACTATCAGGATGAATCACCACAGCACTGTTAAATAATAGTGACAAACTGGAAATTACTTGTGAGAAACAATTGGGAATTTGGTAAATAAATTATGGTACAACCATAAAATAGAATTCTAAGCAGCCATTAAAAATGTTATAGAAGAACATTTATTGACATGATATGGTGTTTAGGACATATTGATATGTAAACAAAATAGACAGTAGAATAACATACAGGAATGATTCCATTTTTTGTAAAAAATATATATGTATATATAGCAAAAAAAGATCTGCAAGGATATATACTAAATTGGTAACAGTGCTTATCTCTGGGAAGGGAGTATATGGGTGTTTATTTTGTTCTTTGTTTACNTGGTAACAGTGCTTATCTCTGGGAAGGGAGTATATGGGTGTTTATTTTGTTCTTTGTTTACCTGTATTTCTCACTTTTTCCTATAAATCACATCATTTGCTTTTGCAATAAGAAAAAGTTAATCTAATACTATCCTTTGTTTTCATTAAAACAGATCCATTTTTAAAAACTTAGACTTTTTTAAGAAGCAGAAATGAATTTCAAGTTGCCACAGAGGCAATGCTTTTATCCTCTAAGGAAGCTGGTTGGAACCTTCGTAATTACAGCCCAAGTTAGATTCAGGGAAGAACTTTCTTCCAGCAGCTTCAGAGTCCTCGGCCTGGCTCCTGTGCCCGAGGCCAAGCTCAGTCATCTCCAGCCCAGTCCATCCTATTCTTGTTGAGTCACCAGTCTCAGCATCTTCAGAGCCATGTCCCCTTGGTCAGAAGGAACCTAGAACCAACCAGCATCTGAGTTAGTGCTCCTGGTGCTATTCCTGGGGCTGCAATCAGGGGTGACATCCTAAAATCTAGCTCCCAGAAAAGCCAGCTCTGTGACAGCAACCTGTGAGCACAAGTGCACGTGGGTGCATCCTACAAAGAAAGGGTCCCTTCTGGAAATGTCTCCTGCACTGGACAAAAGCTCTTCCGGACCCCAACCGTGTTGGGTGACAGGTGCCTGGAGAAGTCAGCATGTAGGAAAGAACCATCT